TTGTATGAGAGCTACTTCATCACTTCTAACAAAACTTGGATTAATTCCCTAAAAGTTCTGCATGTGCACTGACCTCATTCTGCCTTTTCCAGGGGATATTGCTTGGTCTCAGTCCTGCAAGTATTAATTTGTTTGAACAATATTGTAAGCCAGTTGCCTAGCCTACTGGCTTCTGCACTGGGTTTTGCTCCCTAGGAAGTTCCTCAGCCAGTCTTCCAGATAAGAGACAGTCCTCAAGCAACATACATGCAAACATAAACAAAACCAAACCCTTCTGCCCTGTCTTGGGCACTAGGAGGGCAGCCCTTGGCTCTGGGCCCAACACAGCAGCTTGCCCCCTCCCTGTAGCAAGCTCTTTTGCTCAAGCTTGTTTACTCTTCTGTGAGCTTTGCTCTTAGTAGGACACACCCTGCCTACCAAACATCCTGCAGTGGGGCTTACTATGTTCTCTTTTAAAAGGGACAGACTGCTCCACCGCTCTGTTACACATCTCCTCTCCCCCACACCAAGTGGAGTTCCAGCTAAACTAAACACCTTTCATTCCAGTCCTATTTCCCATGTTCCTTTTTTCATATGAAAGAAATAAACATGCTTGAGTTCCAAGCCTGCTCCCACCAAAGCCAATGGCAAAACTCTCCGGTGAGATTTTCACTCCCATTCAGTCCCTTTTATGCTGAGTTAAAAAGGCTGAAACAAGTGTAAAGGGATCCTAAAACCTGTGGATCCCACCATGGGAGCATTCTTCTACTAAATACACTGCAGAAGACAGCCACAGGCCGTCTGCAGAAAACCCCCTTGGAAATTTTAGTACAGGGGACAGGCTAAGAGGGAAGCAATGTTAGTCTCAGTGCTATACCATAGCACTAATCTGCTTTAGGTCTTAAGGACAAATGACAAGAAGCATCGGAGGAGACATACAGAGTCTTCAGACCAAAATTTCTTAAACATTGACTGGGATATCAGCTGTCTTGGTTTTTGGATGTAAAAAATGGAGACATGTTTTGGATATTCTCTAGCATCCCAGCTCCAATGCACATCACATGGGCTACATTACACAAACTAGTTTAAGTGATCAGAAACTGGTTTAAACTTGTAACAGAACAGATGTTCAGTGCACAAAAAACAGTTTGAAAATGGCTGAAACTGGTTTATGCAATGTCTGTCCCAGACCCCTTGCTGGTTTAAGTTAAACCAGACTCCCCCCAGCATCCCGGCACGCTCTCTGGGCTGGACAGGGCACTCTGTTCCACAGCAGAGCTGGTCCCTCCCCTCTGCTCCCTGGCTGGAGCTTGGCAGAGACTGTAGATATATGCCTGGCTTCCCCCCTGCTCCTCACCTTCCCACTCTTTGCTAAACTGGGATTGTCCCAATCCCTTTGCCTTACACAGACACCTCTCAGCATTAGCCAGCAGACCACATGCTGGCTATGGCCCTTGCTGTGGCAGACAGGATAAAGGCAGAAGCAACAGGTAGCCAGTAATGTCCTTCTGTTGTTTTCTTAATGGGCTGATAAACACTGAGTTATGGGTGATAAACACTGTGTTATCAATTCCCTACTGGGCTGGTCTGAAGAGTGGGGGGGATGACCCCTTCCTAATCAGAATGTCCTGCTGGGGCCTGGCCACACCCCCTCAGCTCAGCACTGTAGAAGGGAAGGAAGGGCTGCTCTAGCGCCCCCAGCTTTTAGCCTGAGCCACAGCAGGCATGTGCCTGCATTTCTGGGAAGTCTGTACAATTACAAACTGATTCAGCCTAGCCAGGTTAGACTAACCTTTAAAGATTGAATCAATTCAGGCTCAGGCTTTTTGAATGTCTAGCTCTGGTGTTGTTGGTGCTTCACAGATGACTCAAGCTATGTATCCAAAAAAAAAAAAAAAAAAACAACTCAGCAGTTGCTTCCAAAAAATGTGGGCAAATTAAAAAAAAAAAAAAACCTGGAATAAAGGATCTGATGATGAAAGAGCTTGTGCCTTGGCTCTAAATCAAGAGTTCAGATAATCTGCACTTCTGTGAAACATGAATACTCACCATTTGCAATAGCTATTTTTAACTCCTTGCAAATGAAAGAACAAAAGCAGTTGTTTCCTAATGCAAAGTGTAATAGGCTTTAGTCAAATGAGAATATTATTTCTTTCTTTACAAAAAGAACAGAAGATAAAATCATGTTGTAAAAAGTTTTAAAATGCTACACGCACACAAATACACATATTATTTGCCTGAAGGAATAAAGCAAGACCAGAATGTTCCTACAAGAACAATGATTTAGGTAATAGCAGATGTAAGTAAATATTTAAAGCCCCTGGCATGTTTAATACTGAAGAGGAACAGCTCAGATCAATCTATTCTCCCCGAAGAAGTGTTATTAGGGAGGTTTTCTAAATGCTATATTGCATAACACAGTTTTAAAAATTGTGATAGTTAGAAATTAAATCTTACTGTTATCTAAGGCTGAAGCTGAAACGGGTCTCTGAAGCAAACAGAACATGGACACCAGAATCCAAGCTAATTTCATAGTTTGTCAGGGAGCTCTTTAATGTGACTTTTTTAGAACCAGAGCCACTGCTCTCTCTTATGCCTTGTACTGGGTAAATTCTTCTCTGTGTATGTACAAGGCCCAGAATTAAACTGAACAGCAGTGGTTCTACTGCATTGGAAACAGCAAAGGTTGTAGTGATGTTTTGGGAGGAGGAAAGGAAAGAAAATAAAAAATATCAGTTTTCCAAAAAGAACTGCATTTTAATTTTGGAAGAATCCACCCTCTATAAAAAAAACCCTACTTTAATGCTCTTTACCTTTCCGTGGTAAATATGTTAATGTGGTGAACACATTTGTTCCTGTTTTTTGCATTTTTATGCATGCAGGAGAGAACATTCTCATTGGGTTAAGCTAACAGAACTGCTTCAAGTACTTAAGCCCAAATGTTCTGAAAGCAAAAGATCAGGGATATACCAATCTGTACATACCAAACTGTGCTTGTCAACAGTAAGCTGTACCAGGCAGCAAGAGGATGTCACTGCACCTCCACCTCCTGCTATCTGGACTGGCTTTCTATATATTCTAAGTTCTATTCTCCATCCACCTAAATGGGCCTTTGTCATTAACCTGAAACCCTCAAAAATTCTTTTCTGGCTGTAACTTCCTTCTTTTGGTAGAATCAGATCCCAGATGTCTTGTTTATTTGAAAAACTGTCATTTTTTTCATAAGTGCGGTTTCCTAGATTTAAGACCATCAGCATGACCAATATGTAACTATAAAGGTTTTCATCTAGAAGATGTAATACCTATTTTAATCTGTATTCTGCCTTGCACTAAATCTTGTTCACTGAACAAGTTACGAAGACTATTAAAATGTTTGGAGTTGTTTAGATTTTGATGTCTCTTTACAGGGGGCCAAAATTATAAGTAATAAAGTAGGTTCCCTCATGTGGCAGGGGCAAGGGAGATGCTGAGCCACGGGGACCTGGTGGCAACGGTGGGAGCCCCACGCCACAGATATCGCTGGCGGTGCCGTGGTGCACCGAGCCACAAGAGCAACAAGAGCTTGGCCATGGCGGTGGGTTCACCACATTGCAGGACTCATCAACAGTGTTGTGGCATCCCAAGCCACAGCCAACAAGGGCCAGGAAACTTGAAGAAAAAAAAAAGCTGGTGCCAGCGTGGACGCACTTTGTAAGCACGTGCCAGCACCGATTTGCCAGCAGGGGCAGTGAGGCAGAGATAAAAGCCCCATGCTCTGGTCTGACAGGGGGACCAGAATGAAGTCCCTGGCAGCCAAAGGAAGGCTGCGGCCAAGGCGGAGATCCCGGGAGAGAGGGTTGGTGGCAGCCTCTGAGCGAGGCGCTGCCCCACGCACTGACTCAGAGGAGTCAGTCCACTTACCTGGAAAAGAGATGTGGAAGTCCGGCCAAGAAGAGTGGAGAAGAGACAGTGATAAACTTACAGGACAAGATGAGAGTGATGACTGGTAACAAAACTGCATCTGTGCAACATCAGAGTAACAATGGGTTGGCGCTAGGTGGGGTGTAGGGAAGGTGGAGCCCCAGTGTCCTCATGCTAACAAGTGGCCCTAGCAACACACCACTGGGCTGGTATTAACAGCAGTCCCCAAGAGTAAAATTTGATCAAAGACGTGGCAGGCGAGAAGCACTGGTGGTCCGGGTAACTGGTGCCAAGAGTCAAACTGTCAGGCTGCAGGACTGCAGTTGGCTCTGGGTGGCTAGAAAAGCTTAAGCAGGGAGCTCAGGACAGGCAAAGCAAGTTACACCTCAATTACCATGTTTAGAAAGTCCATTAGTTAAGACAATTTATTTAGTTCACTCAAGGGACCAATGGCAGCTGTAGAAAAATCTAAGAGAAAAATCCTCTTCCTAGATCTACACGATAAATCTCAAAGGTGCTAGTGTCATACAAATCATCATATTCTGCTTTCTACTAAATACATACAGGGTGCATCTACACATCACCCATCTACACATTGCCCATTGTTACTGTGCCATGCTTTAGTATTTCCACCTTTGGAAGTACTAAAGCATGGTGCAGTAACCACCCATACTGGGCTAGGCGTGGAGTGCATGGTTAGTTTTAGCCACTACTTCTCCATAGCAGTGTGCTAAAATGGGGGAGCATGCTCTCTACAGTGAAGTAGCCACTGGTCACTTGCAGACTTACATGATAGCTAAGATTACATAGCACATCAGTATGGTGACAGAGTGACATGTAGACGTGCCAACAATGTGTACTCGCATTAACTTTGTTCCAGAATATAAGAAAGTTCTATCATATTTATTAGAGAAGATTTTTCCGTAATGTCTTTGTAAAGGGAAATGACAGAATATATATATTTGAAACAATGACTGCATTGAGCATTTGTTTTTATCTGACTGGTGAGCCATATTGCAGGGCATAAAATAAGCAAATGAGATCTCACGTTGCCCATAAGACAGATGACAGTAGAAGTTTACACAGCTGAATTGTTCTTTTTCTCCCTTCAAATGCTTCAGGTTCATTCTTCATGATAGGATGGAGAACAAACATCAGCAATTACTTTTAGCAAGGGAAGCAAACACAGAAATTGAAAACCAGTCCTCTGAGCTGCTAAAAGACCTAGCATTGAAGTGGTTTATGGACACGCAGGCTCCTCTACTATTACAGAATGGTACTTTACCTGAATGGTTCCACGGATTCATTACAAGAAAGTAAGACAACCTATAGTCATGTAGCATAGCATAAAATAGATTAAATAAATATTTCAGTTAAATGCTTCTGTTTTCTGAAATATGAGAGGGTTCATGATTAGATTTAAGCTTACTTTGCAAAAAAAAGTAGCTTGCCAGTGACTTTTATATATGGACAAAGCAGGTATTCAATGAGGTAACTGTTTTGTCACCTAAGTGTTAAAGATTAATATGGCAGACAAGGTTCCTTGGGTGAATTTGATATCTTTTATATGTACTCCAAAGAAGCAGGAGCCCCTGAATATATAATTATTTTTTCAGCAGCTTTTCTTGTATTTTACATTCTCTGGATGCCCAGTGTCAATTCTGGAAATGAATTATAACAACCTGGGGGAACTCAAATAATTTTCTGGCAAAAAACTAGAAAAAAATTAAAGTTTTTGTTTTGTGATGGCGGAAGAAATACAGGAAAGGTATTTTTCATGCTAGAAATGATTGTAATGGCTATTGACTTGTTCAAGTGTTTTCAGTGCAGTGAGCCAGTGCATTTTATGTCCTGAGTAATTATTAGGAATATTACCGCACTGGTAGAACTGGATACCAACTTAAAAATTCACTGTAAATTGCTCTATTCCTACAGGCAGACTGAAGACCTGCTTACAGACAAGGACCTTGGCTGTTTTCTTATCAGATTAAGTGACAAAGCAGTTGGGTATATTCTGTCCTATAGGTAAGACTGAACTTCACAGAAGATAAAAAGGTGCTGCTTGCTGATTGGGAAATTGGTATTTTGCTTGTTTTCACATATCGTGATTAACATGCCCTTTCTACCTCTATGTTTGTTTCCTTACCCATGTTGGCATCAATTTTGCCTTAAAACATGAGGACAGCTCTTACTAATATTATCCTCTAGCTCAGTGGGGGCAAAGCTTTTTGGCAAGCATGCCACAAGTTAGCCCCATACTGTCCTGGAGTGCTATTCCAATCCCCTTCCTCTATTTGATATCTTGTTATACTTTCTGGTCCTTGCCCTGTGCTCCCTGACCAATCCACTACTCTGCTTTCTGCTCCCTACCTGATTTGCTGTTCTGCTTTCTGTTCCCTGCCCTTTCTGCCTCTGTATTGTCTGTCCCTGCCTTGATCTATCAGGTGCTAAACATACAGGCTGAAACTTGTGCTGCAGGTTGACTACCTCTGCTCTAGCTAGTGTAAATAGTCCAAAAAAGAATAAAGATGTTTAAAAACATGTCAGCAATGTATACACTGGTAAGAAATGTCACATCTGCATCTACTGGGGAAGTCTATAGTCATAGGCGGCAGAAGAGGGGGGCTAATGGGGCTTAACCCCCCCAAACATGTGGCAGTTGTAGGGCTATAAGGCAGCCTGGCCATGGGCTTCTGGCAGCTGCAGCAGGGGTAAGGGAGGGAGTGGGACTGGAGTAGGGGCAGGCATTGCACAGCTGGCAGAGTGTGGGAGGGAGCCGCAAGCGGCTTGTCCAGGGGATGCGGCTCCTGCTGCTATATGCACCCCGGAAGGCACCCGGGGCGGGGGTGACACCAGATCTACGTGGGGTGGGCTACGGCTGCAGACTGGGGTGCAGGCTCTTCCCGGTGGGGGCTGCACTCGGGGTGGGTGGCGGTGGTGCTGGGAGCAGGGCTTTCGGGGTGGGGAGGCCCTGTAGCCAACACAAAATTTGCCATATCTCCCCCAAACCTCCCTCCCAGTGCTGCTGCCACCCACCTGGAGCACAGCATGGCCTGACCCTTCCCACCACCACCACTGGGAACAGTCCAGCCCAACTCCAGCCCTAGCCATGGCCACAGCCCACCCTGCCTTGCTCAGATTCAGGGGCATGCACCCCCAGTGCCCTCCAGCAGTGGGTGCAGCAGTGGGAGCTGCCACCCCTCCCCGCACCAGGTGCCTCCTGGACAAACCACTTGTAGCTCCACCCCACACCCGCCCTGGCTGTGCAGAGCTTGCCCCTGCCCCAGCCCCAAGCCCCAGCCCCACTCTGCCCCTGCCCCTTCCCCCACAAACTTACCTGCTGGGGCAGGCAGGCATGTGTGCATGCATGCACTCAGCACTCCCAAATAATTTTTGGCCATCTGCCTATGTCTACAGTAATGACTCTTATCTTTTGTAATGTTATATTCACTAAGGACCCAATTGAGAACACTTGCACTATATGTATGGACATAAGGAGCAAAACTACCAAGGCTTATTTAAAACTGATCATTCTATTTAAAAAGATAAAACATATCAGAAAACTCGATTATCAAGCAGGGGCTGCTGATCTGATAAGTCTAGCAAGAGGTGAGAGGAACATGCAAAATAAGTCTGCTGACCTTTAAAAGCTCTGAGCTATAGTATGTAGAGCAGAGTCATCATGACTTTCTATGGTCAAATGCAAAACTGTTTTGTGTTTCCACTAGCACGTTAAGGGGAATTTTCATCACCTTTTCTCACACTCCAGCAGCACACCTCTTCTTTGTTAGACTCACTATGAATTAACACTGTTTCTCATCTAAAAGGCTGGTGTTAAACCTCATACTGCTGCTTACCAGAAAGTTTCAGTAGTTTACTCAATAGCTAGCAATTGGGTGATGGTTTTTTGAACTTTAATTTAGTTCTAATTTAGAGGCAATGGGTTACATAGTAGAAAGGTAATGGTGCTTGATTGGGCATTCAGGCTGATGGGCCAGAAAAATTTAATGTAGCTTACAACTAAGTCAAAGGCCTCTGAATTGGGCCTTTATATTTCACTTGTGGGACCATACCAAAACCAAAAACTTTCTTTGGCTAGAGTTAGAAGTATAAAGTAATGCATGCTTCTTTACAAGATTATTAGAAAGCAATAATTATCCTAAAAGCAAATGTGTGAGAATGAGAAAATTTAGAAAAAGAACTGGAATTTCTCATTTCTCCTGTGGTAGAATGTCCTTATACGGTTTGTCAAGGAAGTTTTCTTGGGGCCATAGCTAATGGCCATAGAGGTTGTGGAACAAATTCATTCCAGGTCTGTAGAATGAGAGCAGCATGTGCGAATCTTATCAGAAGATTTAATAAGTACAGCAGTGTTTCCAGCACGTATAGGCAAGGTAGGCGGGGCAGATTGGGAAGATGCATTTTTGGGCTGCAGGAAGAGAACAAGATTCATAGACGTTAGGGCTGGAAGGGATCTCAAAGATCATCAAGTCCAGCCCCCTGCCCCAGGGGCAGGAAGTTAGCTAGGGTCAAAGGATCCCAGCAAGTGTCCAAGTGTTTCTTGAATAAGTCCAGAGTAGGTGCCTGCATCACCCCTGGAGGGAGTCTGTTCCAGGTCTTGGGGGCTCAGACAGTAAAGACATTTTTTCTTATGTCCAGCCTAAAATGGTCTTGTAGGAGTTTATGACCATTGGTCCTTGTTTTTCCTTGAGGTGCTCTGGTGAACAGATGTGCTCCCAGATCCTGATGCACACCCCTTGTGTACTTATAGGTTGCCACCAGGTCCCCGCTGAGCCTGCGCTTTTCCAGACTGAAGAGTCCCAGGGCTCTCAGCCTCTCTTCATAGGGCCTATTCTCTTGTCCTCTGATCATGCATGTGGCTCTCCTCTGGACTCTCTTGAGCTTCTCAACATCCTTTTTGAATTGAGGAGCCCAGAACTGGATGCAGTACTCCAGCTGTGGCCTCACCAAGGCCTAGTACAGCAGAAGGATGACATCCTGAGATTTACTTGAGAAGCATCTATTGATACAAGCCAGGGTTTTGTTTGCTTTACTAGCTGTGACATCACATTGGTGGCTCATGTTCATTTTGTGGTCAATCATGACCCCCAAGTCTCTTTCAGCAGTGGTGCTAGCAAGCGTAGCACTGCCGAGCCTGTAAGTATGCCACGGGGTTTTTTTTCCCCCCCAAGGTGGAGTACCTTGCATTTATCAGTATTGAACGTCATTAGGTTTGTGTCTGCCCACTTACTAAGCTTATCTAAGTCAGCCTGGATCACTAGCCTGTCCTCAGGTGTGGACGTTATGCCCCAAAGTTTAGAGTCATTGGCAAACTTATCCAGTGCACTGGACACCAACATCCACATCATTGATAAAGATGTTAAAGAGAACCAGTCCAAGGACAGAGCCTTGGGGAACACCACTGGTTACGGAGTGCCATAATGACTTGCTGCCATCAACCACTATTCTCTGGGTCCGACCTCGGAGCCAATTTTCTAGCCATCGGACTGTGGTGTAGCCAAGGTCACATTTGGCCAATTTTTCCATGAGGAGGTCATGGGACACCAGATCAAAGGCTTTTTTAAAGTCCATCAATCTCTTCTCCCTTGTCCAGGTGATATGTCACCTGGTCATAGAAGGAGATGAGATTGGTCAAGCAAGACCTACCTGTGACAAACCTGTGCTGGCTATCCCTAAGCATGTTGCCCTCAGCCAGCTTATCCAGAAGGGTCTCCTTGATAAATTTTCTCGAGAATCTTACCAGGGATTGAGGTCAAGCTGATTGGCCTGTAATTCCCAGGATCTACTTTCTGCCCTTTCTTGAAGATGGGTACCACATTGGCCTTCTTCCAGTCTTCAGGTACTTCACCTGAGCGCCATGAATTTTCAAATATTTTTTGCCAATGGTTGAGCTATGACACCTGCCAGCTCCTTGAGTACCCTCGGGTGTAGTCTGTCAGGACCAGCTGACTTGAAGGTGTCCAGCCTCTCAAGGTGATCCTTTACTAGATCAACACCGATGCTGGGTATAAATACACCCTCACCCTGGCTGTCCCACATCTTGCTAGGCAGGGTGGTCCCATTGGATTAATGAAAGACCGACACAAAGTATCCATTAAGCAGGTTGGCCTTTTCCTGGGTGTCAGTTTTCAACTGTCCCATTTGGTTCA